GGTCAGTTCTGACTCACAGGGACCCCACGTGACAGGAGAGCTGCACCTCAGGGTTTCCTCGGCCATAATCTTTATGGGGGCAGATGTCCAGGCCTTTCTCCCGCAGAGCCGCTGGGCGGGTTCAGCATAGAACCCGCTCTAACACCCCGACTGTCCCTGGAGTTGATGTGCAGGCTGCCAAATGCCGGGAGCAGTTACAGCTCCAAGTCCCCTCTCGGCGTTTGAGGAGAGACCACAAATGCAAAACCCTCCCTGCTCTGTGCAAACACGCCCCCCACCTTGTTTCCACTGCAGAAACTGCAGACAAAACCTGTGCCCCATCCTACATGTCAGCACTGGGATCCCTTGAAAAGAAAAATTTCCCAGCATTTTATTAGCAATAATTTTTAGATTCTGTTCATCAGTCTCGGCGACAGCACCGGGCTGTTCTCGGCTTCACAAATGAGCCCCCGCCGTCCAATCACTTTGTCATGTGAGCGCAGCACCGCTATTCAGAACCCGCGGGCCCACTCTGAGTTGGCCTGTTGTGAGGTGGTTTCGTCGGCCATACATCACGGCACATGATGAGGTGCCACCGAGATTCCCTGTGTGCTGATGGAACATGAGTTTCCATCGGGCCCTGCCGTCGTCCCGTGGCGGAGTCACAGGTCTTACTGTGGAGTGGTTCACCGGCCAGCCCAGGGATTTGCAGCGCCCCTAGAAAGGGCGTTCTCTGGCATCCTCCACAGTAAGTCTAACTGCGCAGTGTGCCGTTTGAGGTTGTAAAGGTAGCCAGGATATATGGGTGCGGGGGACTTGGGAGGCTCTGGGAGCTGCCCGTGTGGGGCTGTGGGTGGGAGGCTCGTGCGCGTCTCTGGGTCTTATTCTCGGGTGTCGGTTCTCGTCGGCGCGGTTGTCCATCCCTGGCACGCTTCACACGCAGGAGGCGGACTGCCCTCCTTGTCCTGCTGTCTTCCCCTGGCCCGCGGCACATTTGGAAGCCACTGTGGGCCTCAGGCAGCGAAGGAGGAAGACGGGGTGACTAGGATACAGGGCATCGGGGGTCTAGCGCTCACCCTCGGCGTTCCTAGGGGCGGGCCAACCGACACTGAGCGCTCAGCCAGCGCACCACGCCGG